GTTGTAGATTCTAAAGATGTGGATTTCTTAGTTGAAAATGCTATTACAAACAAATTGCCATTCTTAAAGAGTAACATCGTTATTAACGAGGTCATATTAAACACTGTCAACGACCCCAATAATATAACGATGACTCAAAATGAAATAGCCAACCATGTACATTTTAATGAAGTGAAAAAAACAGAAATTGTCGATGATGAAACTCATAAACGAATGGTTGATATGTTTTTAAGGGATACCAGAAACTCTCAAACACTGCGTCATAAGCAAACGTCTCGAATTTCTAAACGTAGTCGATCGAGGTCAAGTTCTATTGATCGAAAACGAAGACGATCAATTCCTTTATCTATTTCCCAATGGAATATTGAACGTAAATCGTTGTCCCCATTAAGGGATGGGGACATTTGGCAAGCTTATCGGCACATGGTTGATCAAAGTGTACGCGAATTAAATACAACGTTTGAGTTATATAAATCGGATCCTGAAGAACATCCTCTTTATAAAGACGAGTGGCAAAAATTCTGGAAGCGGCGGAAAGACGAACTAATTGCCGCTGGCATAAACCATCGGTCTTACAATTATCAAAATGAATGGATCCTGTTTTTCAACGCTCGTTTGGAAGAACTCTATAATCAAGACATTGAGTACATTAAAATTAAGTGTCGTGAAAGGTTATGTTTGCCAATGACTAATGACAATTTATCAAACTCGAAATACCATGTTCACATTTATGATAATCTTTTTGACAGTGTTGGTCCCATTAAGAACCATAAAAGTGGCGATAAAAATAATATACAATGTAACGAAAGTGCAAACATAAATGTTATCCATGTGCTTCGACTATTAACTGCACTAGAGGATCATTTGGGAAGCTTGGGCCCTAGCATTACGGAACTATTGGCTAAAGCACTCCAAATCTTTAAAATGCATCCAGATAAAGCCAATATTTTACTTCTCACTAGTGAAAATTGCGCTATCTTAGAAACAGCAAAGGAAAAGTTTACAGGTTTAATAATTTCTAAAATGTTGGATCCAGTTCAGGAACGTGCTTTAAAAAAGGCAATCAATGATACCGAACAATTATTAATTTTTGCAGGAAAGATACGGACAGAACTAGAAAGCAGCAATACAGAGCTCAGTGTTAGTAATCTTGAATTCTTAAAGAATTCTCAAAGTAGAGTGAATACTAATATTTTAAACAAAAAACAAGATCGCGTAGATACAATAGAACTTGCGTCTAAGCTGGCTACGTCATTGATATCTCAAGGAAAAACCAGTATTAACCAAGAACAGCTACAACAAATTGTTCAAGTCTATTCTTTAATTGAGAAGAAGAAACATAGAGATTCAACCTCGTCTACTCGATCCGTTAGCAGTTTAGTTAATCGTTAATCACCTCATTCTACATATAAACTATTTCTAATGCGTTTTCACCTCGAGGGAACAACGTATCTCAAACAACGGCTTCGTTAAAAATATTAACAGTGAATTGTCGAATTCTTCATTATTTGTCGTGAAGCAAAATTTGGACACTAGTGCAATTTACTTATCTGCAAATATGGATCGAATACATAAAACAAATATTAAAACAAATATTAAAAATAATAATACAAAAAAATGAATTACTATGCAACGTGCAAGACTCCCAGTACAATCAATACGACTGCAAAAAGTTTGGCAACGAGGAATCAACAATTCATTTGAATTTTGTTTTTAAAAAATAAACGGAACCCATCATCTCTTTACGTGGACAACAATTATTAGTCTATTCCAACTAATATGAGTACTGGAGGGAAGACTATCTGGGATGTAATGCTTTGAATTTAAGATGAGATATTGATATTATTTTAATGTTATGGATTGCCATTATTTTTAAACTACTGTTTTATAATATATATTTAACCATGTACATAAAATAACGTGTTATGTTTAACTATAATATATAAAAAAACAAAAAATTAATGTTTTTATGTTAAACAAATTTATTTTTAAGTGAACAATGAAAGTTTAGTAACATTTACGCATTTAGTTTACCATTTTATTAAAGTGATAATATATATAGAACGCCATAAACTTTGAATACTAAAATGTTTTTATGAAAAATACATATTTTTTGCAAACAAATACAAGTACTAATAAAAATAAGCATACAAAATAACTATTGTTTTATTACGCACCAGCAGATATAAGGCGGATATTAATAATTCTAAACATGCTAGCGGTTCAGAAGTTGTCTGTTGTTAAAACAAAAAACCACAGAAATTTCTCATTCATATAGAAAAATATATTCCATTGGCATGTGTGAATATCGGCGCCCATATACACACGGATTGTAGTCGGTAAAAATGGTTAAAACAAATGAGTAAGAGGATCCAGGCGGTAGTTCCCCACTAGGGGATACCCTGACCCTCTTCTACCAACACCAAATGCAGGTTGCGTTTGATTTAGCAGTAATAAAAATTAATTTATAACAAAAAATTTCTTCACTAGGACTCAAACCCGTAACAGCCAAACCACCAATTCAATCGTAGCGAGAATAAAACGAATTAAAATAGCCACATGTACACACAGTACAGAATACAATACCGATTGTATTACAATTGCAATTGCAATGCGTTTGATATAGTTCAATAAAGACGCGCTCATTATGTATGTGTACATGTATACAGAAATTCTTGCAAATTGTAATTTTTTTTTGATAACTTCTGTGTTTCTTAACCGATCTTGGTGAAATTTTTTACAGTAGATCTTATTGTACTATAGAATATTCGTGTTTTTCGCTTAAATTGATGGGCAATATAAGTTGATGTTTTTACTTGATTTTTAGCTTTGTGGCTACTATGAAAGATGATTTATCTGTTTCTATTATTCTATAACTTACATAATTTGCTCATAAAACAAGATTTTAATATTGGCTTGTATTGAGTACTTTGAAACGGGGCAAGTAATCGAATATGGGAAACAAGCTTGTACTGCGCCGGCACTAGGACGAACTACATCGAACACGAGAAAACAAGAGTTTGTCTCTGCAGCGGCTTCCTGGCTTGACTTTTTTTGCGTCCTTTTTATAACTTCAAAAAATACATACAAAACAAAAACATTTAAAATTAAGCAACTTGGTGTTCCAAGTGCCGATGTTTTGCACACCATTCTACGCAAACGACTTGAGTGGGTCTGCAAAAAAATGCACGGCGGAATGTATTTGAGGAAAAAGCAAAAAAAAAAACTATTCATGATTAAGAAAACAAAACATTATAAAAACATAGCACAGAAAACAATACAATCGAAGTTGCAATGGTGTTGATAGAATTCAATAACAATGTACATGATTATAGAAATTCCTGCAATCTACAATAGATGCCGCAAACACATGGGCAGCCAAAACACAGTTTCTGTAATAATCTATTTGTATTTGTATTGATCAGGAACAAGACAAGTTATCGATGAGAACTCGTACTGTCCGGACACTAGGAGGGTCTACGTTCAAATTATAAAATACCTCTTATAGGCTAGGAGATCGACGCCTTCGGACATACGGACAAACGGACGGGCGAACAAACAGACGGATAGATCAACTAGGCAATTGAAGCTGATCAAGAATATATATACTAGTTTCCGAAGTATAATAATAATCACGATCGAATTGTTACGCAAATTCTGCCTTTTCTAACGTTTTTTTTAATAAGCTGGGATCTGAAAATTTTTTTTGCCATTGTAAGTCTACCTTATCATCCGTCGGGGACCAACCGTAGGACAATACTCTTTGTTGTCTCTCGGCGATATGCTTTTCTTTAGGGTCGACTTTAATTTTCTGCTTATTCCTTCATTTCATCTCTCGTCTCTAAAGTACTATAGGCTTAAGTTAAAGTTGCAGCTAGTACGCAGAGCTCAAATATTGTGTGTCAACACACACGAGGCTTACTTTAACAACTAAGCGAGGCTATATCGATAACTATCTACTTTATTACAAGGTTTGTTATATTGCTGATCAGCTAATTAATAGCTTTCCTTTTTATTTTTATCAAGATTAATTGATTTTGTTCGGAGCGCTTTTATCAGTTTTGGCAAAACTATTGCATCCTCAGTAAGCGGCTCCTTATTTTTGGATACACTAGACTCTGTTGAGAATACTTATCATCTAGGTCTAGGCGACCTGGGATTTCCCGACTAGAAACTCATACTAGTTTTTATAATGGTTTTGTGAGGCACGACACATAAACGACCCCATTAATTATAAGTATGTATATCTTCATCAGGAGAATGAGCTTATTCTATGAGCTAATTAAGCACATCAATTTGGAAAACTTCGAAAGCTTTAAACCTTTAATTTCTAATATTTATTATTCTATGCCATTCGCAGCCCATATATTTATTATCTCATTCGATATCGATAAGAATCAATTTTGTGACTTTATTGATTAAGCTTAACACAAGAACTATAAGACGCAGATGTAAGATACACTTCATACATCAAACTACACACATAAAAATGTATTACTTCTTGGGTACCTTACCTCATTACTCCTAATCGGTATACAATACATTTTTATATGTAGAGCCCTGTGATTTGGTGTACGCATATTTTTTGCCATCCAAAAAGCACCATATACACGCTCAACTCAGCAATATTCTCATTAAGTATGCGAATGATCGGTCAAAACGAATTTTGGTAAAAGTTGGTTGTTTGCTTATTGCATTCCCCGCACTTAAACATATATGTTTTACATTTGACTACATTATCATAAAGCTATTAAAAAAGAATTGATATTGGCTAAGAAAAACTTTTCCTGCTAACTAACTTGTTATAATTCTTAATTCTTAAATCTTATCGACATCTGACTACTATTTCATATAGTTTTAGCAAAAACAATAGTTTTATTCTTCGACGTGGCGAACATAGTCGTGTTGTTATTATTACATCTATTCTTACAGCAAAGTGGAAATACAAATGTCACACCTAAGCAGTATTAATATAATAATATTTTTTTTCGTTGTTCCAGAATTTGCCATGCCTGCTTCTTCATTGTGTGACGCACACAATAATTGCGCGTAAGTTACTTTTTAAACTAGTTACCTTTTCTTATCTCCGATTTAAAGTACATATTTATAGATAAAGTGTGGTAAACACTGGGTAGTTTTTGTACAATAGTTATAGAGTTAAGTCCATTTAGCTATATACTTTTCTCCGTCTGTATGAACGCATCGCTCTCGGCAGCTACAAAAGCCTAACTCATTATTATACCCTGAAAACATTAACAACTGGTAAAAGGTAAATAACAGGCAGAAAATATTAAAATGTTTTCGAGCTTTTACTTAAAAATACATGTTCACCATTGCCGGCTTCAGCAAACACCTGCGATCTGAAATTATCTGACCAGCTGTGCTAAATGTTCTTTATAATTCTGTGGACGTCGCAGAAATGCAAAAAAAAATTGGCTGAAAATTGTAGGCCCTCGCTATTTATCTGAAAATAAAAAAAAACCATTTCAGTTTTGGGTTGAGAACATGTAGCTTATATTAACAAGTACTAAACTATATTTCCATCCAATATACAAGTGTGTTTCGGTCCTCCGGCTCGTTATGAAATATTGTCTCATAATAATTATTGCGTCCGACCGTGTTGGTTGCAATTTCTAAGTTATTTACTCTGGTTGCTGGTTGTGTTGGTGGAGCTGATGGCTGGTGTGAGTTTTTTTAGACATTATAGAAAAATTTTTCTTGTTTGAATTGGAGAAAATGTGTCACTAAAATCCATTTCCTGCTCCTAATACTTTTTCTGTCTACACTTAGGAGATAAACACGTTTATAACAATCAAAATGATGATGATCCATTCACACATAAAAATCAATTTGGGCCGAATTCCAGAATTTAACAATCTATTTCAAAGAATAATATTTTGAAGGAAGCCCTAAAAAAACATTAATGAAAAAATAATTAAAATCACCCTACAAAAATTATAATTTTTATAATTCCATACTATAGTTGCACAACTAATGATTTAAATTTAAAAACTTTTTATTTATTGAAAATGAGAAACAGGTTATAATGTAATCAATGGCAGAAGTAGGCGTGTTTCAGTGTAATATTTTCGTGGCCAGCATTAATTTGAGCGTCGAGTTGAACTGGCCATATCCGTTTAACTGTCCGACCGAAATTTAGTTCCATTGGGTTAATGTGTGGGGAAATACGCAGGCGTGAATGTTTGCATATTGGATTGGAATTTGCGTGAAATCAGTTTGAGTTTCTTACTTTTTTTTTTTACTTGAAACATATTTGAAAAATCTAAACAAATATATTATTCTTACTTGGTTTTGAAAATTGGGAAATAGAGTACAATGGCTTTTTATAAATTAAAATGCATTTGTCCCAATATATATATTGTTTTTATAAAATATATATAATTATTTTTGTTTTCGATAATGTTTGAAACGAGGGTTTATGGCGTTAATTTTACTTTAAACTATTAAAAGTTGTCTTATCTACACTATGCACTATATAGTTAGAAATTCCTTTTGTCAAATTTGTATAGCACCGTTTAATTTTCAAAAGAAACACACGTGTTATCTTTTTTAAATAAGCCATTGTCTTTATATTTCAGCGAAAAGTGTTTTAAATACATAAAACAGGATGACTGGGTTACAAGTGGAAAACTTGGTTCACGAGAAGCAGTATTAGTTTTTCGAACTAATATACTTAATCCAAAAACTAGAAAAACGCTTTTAGAAACAACACCCGAGCAAGTGAAACTTAAAAATGTGGAGGCTACGTCCACTCAGAGCGGTGTGGTTCTTGAAAAGGCTATGTCTTCAGCAATTTGCAAAACAAATGCAACTATAGGACAAGCATATGTGTCAGTTGAAAAGTCACCAAATAGCAATGATCTACGGAATCCTGTTAAGAAATTGCATGGTTCATTTTCCTCCTGTGATACTTCTGTTTCAAGTGATGGAGATGAAACTGTGCAGTATAACGAAAAGAAACCCAGAGTACAACAAAAAAATCGAAATGCTGCAATTGTCGAAATCGAAGTTAATTTAAATAAGGAAAGTGGCTATAATTCCATTCCGGCTACTCAATTCAATACTGGCAGTAATACTAGTGAGGAAGATCAGGAAGCATCTAGTGAGGAAGATAAAGAATGTGGAATAAATATGCCTGCACATCAGTTACAAATAACGTATAAATTTATACAGACTGAAACAAAATTATTAAGAAAAATATTTAATGTTCATGGCTTAACCGAAGTGCAGGGTGAATCAAATTTTAATTTGTTATGGACAGGAGTTCATATGAAACTAGACACCTTACGGAACTTAGCGCTATATCAACGAGTAAATCATTTTCCAAGGTATGTGAAATAACAAATACTCCATTTTACTTTAGTAAAAAATATAAATTATAAAATAAATATATATATATATAAAAAATATAAATATAAAATATATATTTCACCATAGCTTTCATAACGCATTACCAACAACCAGTTGTTTGTGAGTTATTAAATTTTGTAGATTTTTCACACAAAATTTGGATGTTTAAAACGTTGAAAAAATTTCACATATCCTCATATCAGCCATGTTCAACCAATTAAAAAAATTTCAAAAAGTATTTTTCACTTGAAACCTCAATACAATTGTAGAGAAATGTTGCACTCTTTCCGCATTTATGCTGACGCATAATGTAACACTATAACTTTTGTATTTTATTTTTTATATTTGTAACTGAAATTCAATCAAAATATTAATGTCTTCCCTATTAAGGTCATATGAGCTAACCCGTAAAGACCGACTTTACAAAAACATTGAGCGAATGCAGCACTTGCGGGGAATGAAACATTTTGACATTGTTCCCCAGTCTTTCATTCTTCCGCTAGAGTCTCGAGATTTATTATTTGCTCACAATAAACACCGAGGGCCTTGGATTGTTAAGCCGGCAGCTTCAAGCAGAGGACGAGGTATTTTTATTGTGAATTCGGTAAAAGTGCTTCAAACATACTTAAAACATACGAATAATCTATTTTGTTTACAGCCAGACCAGATTCCACAAGATGAACAAGTTTTAGTATCCAAATATATCGTGGATCCTCTTTGTATTGATGGCCATAAGTGTGATTTAAGAGTTTATGTATTAGTTACATCGTTTGATCCGCTTATTATATATCTATATGAAGAGGGTATAGTCAGGTTGGCGACTGTAAGGTACGATAGAAACGCCGATAACTTATGGAATCCTTGTATGCATCTTTGTAACTATAGCATCAACAAATATCATTCTGATTATATAAGATCATCAGATGCTCAAGATGAGGATGTAGGTCATAAGTGGACCCTTTCAGCACTATTAAGACATCTTAAACTTCAAGGATGCGACACTCATTTACTAATGCTAAACATTGAAGACTTAATAATCAAGGCTGTTCTTGCCTGTGCTCAAACAATCATTTCCGCGTGTAGAATGTTTGTACCTAATGCAAATAACTGCTTTGAACTTTATGGCTTCGATATACTGATTGATAACACTCTTAAACCTTGGTTATTAGAAGTGAACTTGTCCCCTTCAATGGGTGTGGACAGTCCCTTGGACACTAAAGTAAAAGCCTGTCTAGTCACAGATTTACTGACCTGTGTTGGTATTCCAGCATTCAGTCCAGAAATGAGATCACACTATAATAGTAAATCGTCGCAAATTCGGAGCTCGAGTTGTCACAGACAGGTAGATACAACTGAATCAGGCATTGCAATTCGATCAACAAAAACAAAAAAGAAAACTTTTGGATTGATTCAATTGACACAAGAAGAGCAGCGCATATTACGTAGTGCACGATTGCAGTACTCCAGGCGTGGAGGTTTTGTTCGTATTTTCCCAACAGACGACACAATGCAGCGATACGGACATTTTTTAGATTCTGCTAATGGTATTCCAATATCAACACCAAACGTTCAAGGTCAAACATTCCAGACATTAGTCACGCAACACAATTACAATCAAATGCTGCATTCAAATTTATACTGCCTTGGCTCGCGAAGCCTTAAAGATGATAATTGTCAAGAAAACCGCATAAGACAGTACGAACGAGCTTTGGAAACGGACTCCGAAATTCCATTTCTAAAGAAACAAATTGTAGAAAAGTGTGAAGAAGAAGGACGAAGGCTTCGCAAACAGTTGCTTAAGAAAATTGGGAGTGGTTCCACATTGACACACTTTCAAGCAAGGCAAACGTTTAGCTTGTATTTAGAATCTGTTTTACGACGACTGACTCAAGATCCAAAAGACAGTCATGAAAAAATAATACTTAAGTTCTTAAATAGGTATGGTGGAGGGGTAAAACCTCCAGTTTTATTTCGAAATACGCTAAACGTTAGCAAAGCTCGTTCGGCAATGGTAGCTAAATTGTTAGGAGATTTCCTGGAGCTGTACAAAAGAGATACAGAAGCATATGTAGATTCATTTGATCATTTTGGAATGATACCAACTAGTGCCTATAGTCTATTTTTAATACATGCCCAAGAATCAGATTTAGAGGCAGTCCTAACTCACCATACAAATGTTACTGGTATAATGCCGTTTTTGTATAACCGGTGTGGATTGTCAGTACCACCAACGCCGCCAATTCCGTCCGGATTGCATGGGTTTTTAAGAGCTCTTCCAGCAATGGTGTCGGCTTCAGGGTTCTCAAGAGATGTTAGCAAGTATGATGGGTATTTTAAGAGCTGCGATAAAAATTTGGAAGATGTGCATGATATTTCATTAAGATCAAGGAGCACAAGAGATTTCAAATAAGGAAATCTGCAATTTATTTATCTAAATATTCTTTCTAAAATCTTTGAAAAATCTCTTTTCGATTTGAAAATTAAATACATTAAGGCTGGTCTTATAAAAAATATGAAAAAAACATGCCGTTTAAATTTTATATAGTTAATTATATGCATTTTACGTATATTTAAGTCGCATAAGAAAATTAACCAAAACATTTAGTATAATCCTTAAATTTAAGCAAAAAATGATTGAAAATTGCAAACATACGGTTTAGTAAATTTACATGACGCGAAGCAGAACTGACAATATGTGAGCAGCTTTTTAGCTACTTTTGCAAGAAAATTGTAAGAGTTGCCGGGACGGATGGCTTATGATAAGGAAACGGTCAAGACATATATAATATGATATGGGGCCATGCGTTGCTTACCGTTGCCGCTGACGCTTACTGGAACTATTATCTACAAGGACAACTATAACTATAATAATGGTGAGATTTTTCTTTCGGACGGTTGCATACCTCGCTTAATTACTATTAGTCAATATGCCTTACTACGGTTAGTTCAAATAATGAAAATGTCGGGTGTCCAATACATTTGAAAGCTAGAAATATAATATTAAATAAAAAAGAATTTGGTTTTATTCAGAGAGAGAGAGTTCTCAGTTGGAATGATTGAAGTGTTTTACTTGTGCTCCAAGATTCTTATATATTTTTGCACTTTAATCCAGATATTAAATTTTAAATGTTTTGTGCTTTATTTAAAAAGCTTTTATCACTTCTGCAAAGTGCTATCTGTTGTGCAGCTTAAACGTGGCGCCAGTTCCGTGTTGCTATTGCCTGTTTTGATTCTTTTGTCTTGGTTCTCCCATGTATGCTTGCATATTTCTGCTTGTGTATCGCGCTCTTAGAAATTATTGCTGTTGCATTTCGCTCCAAACAATTTGATTGTATACGAATTTATTTTGATCGTTTGCTTGCTCTATTTTTCTGCGGCGTGTTCCGTATTGCTCTCGCTCTCGCAGCTTCTGCCTAACTGTTAATGCCGGTAGAAAATATGGCGTGCTTTAAGAAACCGTGCACGTTCAAGCAGGCTGATGAATCTGCGCAGCTGCAGTTTGTTAATAGCTGTCTGCGTAAGAATATGATCCATGCTAAATGTGCAGGTCTCACTGGGCGGGATTGCGACAATCAAATTGATTTCTCCAAATTAATTTCTGCATAATGCTAGGGCAATAAAGAGAAGCGTGCCAGATCAATGAAAAATAATGTTAAGAGCGGAATATAAGATAAGAATAAGATGCTGCTTTCATCAGTTGCGAGGTGGCTCAACTGGTTTGGCTTCGTAGCTAGACAATTATCACATATCAATGACCCAATCGTCATCTTCACTGATACAACGGCCCTGATAAACTGATCATGCGGTCGTACTTGAGTAACGTGCAACTTGCGCAATGGCATTCATGATCAGCTGTCTTACCCTGTTCAGCTGCTCCATATATAAAGGAATTATTTGTTTGCTTAACCGCCGTCAAAAAGCAAGATATCGATCTGAAATAGTGACCGAACTAGAAGTAGTATTGCAAAGCTCCGAGTACGTCTCTTAGCTACGGAACGAGCAAACAGTAGTAGAAAAAAAAACGTTAATAGGTCGTCTAACTTAAACAACTAAAATAACATGTTTGCTCCATCTGAAAGGAGAATTAACGAGGCGCAGCGGAAGTATCTTAGCGACGCTGCTGGCGCGGACGTGCGGTTTCATTATGGGTGGCGATTACTAGAGTTGTTTAATTTGAGACTCACAAATGGAGTGTCCGCAACAATATCCAAAACCAACCATTTGATAAATCTTATATAGGGATGTCGAATTACATAGCTCTCCGTTAGGCTAAGCTTTTATATCTTTCAATAATCAATTATAAAAACGACATCAAAACGGCCACAACTTTTGGATTTCATACACGTGTTGAGAATATTCCAACGGAACGACTTGATACATTTCAAGCCTCAAGCATCAATTGTCTATGGGTCGTCTATGAGATCCTCTCAACTCTTTGTTGTAGAGTGTTAAGGCAGATTTTTAGCTAATACAAGCAGCCTTACGAACTTTTGCCTTATTGAGAAAGCTATTCCACTAAGGGAAATCTCTTTTAATTCAGGAAGCAAATGAGCAAATAGTATTATATGGACGGCTATCGCAGATTTTGGTTAGAGTTATAGAAGCTAGCATGCGTACTGTGGGAAATCTAGAAAAGTCTCCTGCTTTTTCGATAAGGATTCATAAACAAACTTAAGACCATAGCGCATCCATGGGCATCTCATGCTTTTGGCGTCGGTTCCTCCCAAAATTTTCACCCGCTAACTTTTTCCGTTCCTAGAAATCTCCAGAATATATATATTTCTATATCCCATTACCAAATTAAAATTGTGCTTCGTCGCATTCGTTTCTCTGCCAAATCTACGCGGAAACAATCCTCTACGAAAATGCCACCGATTTTTGCGAGTGAATGCAGAGAAAAGTTTCCGCTTAAATCTTATAAAAAAGTGCAACCTAACTGACATTGGCCATGCTGCTCCAACAGAGGATCACACAACGCCAACAGCCCTCCCTGAGAGGGTATTGTTACTGGCCGTTACAGTTGCCTTATCACCATAGCTTATCGGTCAGAAAGTTGCAAGTTTCTAAAAGCCCAAGACCCAAAAAGCCAGCTTTTCCAACGGCCTCAGAGTCTCTTTGGTTACACAACATTAATATAATATTCCGTTTTTGAATGATTACCCACGAATTAAAACGTTTTCAGCAATTAACTTAATACGGTTGTTCTTTTCTTTATTTGTGTTGTTTACAAAGGTTCTTTTGAAAAACTAATTTTCATTTTTAGTAAATACTCTTATTTTTCATTTAAAGAACATTGCATGTTTTTTGAATGTTGATCATAGATCCCGATGGACATTTAAAAACCTCAGTCGCGCTGCCCCCTTGAGCAATAAGCCAACCCAATCTGAAATGTATAAGATCAAAAAAAGTATATTAAGTTTGTTGCATATTTTTGTGTGCATATCTGGGAAATCTTTAAATAAAGTGTTTTAAAATTCATTTTTTACACCCAACACAGAAAGCAGGCTTCCCTCTTGGCTAGATTATTAGATTAGGTTGATTGTTAAAGTTTAAAAAGTAAAATATTCTTCGTTAATGTATACAAGAACCAAACATTATGTGCAACTTTTAGGTATACAAGAATCTAGGACTGGAAGGCATTTTTTAAAACATTTTGAAGCGGGCCAAAAAACTTTTGGTAAAAATTTTACACAATATATACCGACCGACGAGCTTCTTAAATTGCCGATAAAAGTTGTATATATGTAAACTATATTAGGTTGGACATGCTTTGATTAGCCTTAGGTGTTAGTTTTTTGGTTCAGTTTAAAAAAATGTTCTGAAATACTTACATATTGTCAAACTCTGTTGCGTTTGTGTCAATTCCCATGTAATTTGATTCAGTACAAAGTTCTTGGGCAGACACCAAAAAAAAAATTTGTGTTGGTGTCAAATTTAACCCTGGGAGGCGGGGCATTCCTTTGATAGGGCCAGTGAGTGAAAGCATTGAATGGTATGAAATCTGCATTCCTCCAGAATGAATTAGTAGATCCATTCGGCTAAAGTTCGAAAATATGTTTACAGAATGCGGCACACAACGCATAGCCTTATCATCAAAGTTTTTCGTTATTGAACGCAGAATTTCCTTAGCAATAGAAACACCAATTGAAGCATAATGCAGGTATGGAGGCAAACGTGCATTAAAATATGGTATTAGTATGACCGACAAAGGAACAACTGCGAATTAAAAAAGAGTGGTAGGTAAAATAAAAGTCATCAAACCAGTTCTTATACCGACCAATTGAGTGGCTTAATGTGTCATAAAATATGGTCGACACAATAGGATATGCCCATCTGAAATTAAATATAAGCTAATACAATTTTTTTTTTTTTTTTTTTTAGCTTACGCGTCATGGGAGTTAGCGTCCATATTAATTTTATTAGGCACTATTTTATTCCGTTTATAAATCTCTAAAATGTTATCCAGCCAATTGTCCTGACTGATTTCAAGGGGTTCCAAGGCTTTCGTCAATTGTGTAATATTTGAGAATCCTTCCCATGTTTTTGATTGAATTTTTAATGCGGAGAGCTTTACAAGTGCTGCGCCTTTTAAAGATGGAGCTCGCTTTAAGTGAGCTTTTAGTGATTTAAATATTATTTCCGCCTAAAAATGATAATCTTTGTAAACATTATTTTATTTTAATGTATTTTAAAAATTTGTATACCCGTTTTATTATGTCTTTTGAATCTACTGAAGAATGTTGTGAAATATATAATTCTGAAGCTAGATCTGGTAATGCCCACATAGTAGAGCGTGTGCACACCTCCGGATTTGGAAAATCTTTGGGTAAAATTTCAAGTACACTTAGTAATAGCATTGAGTTATGTGCAATTCGAGATGGATACTTTGTAAGAAAAGATTGTAACGCTTTGAGATAATCAGCGTTTCTTACAACAATGGGTCCGCTCCAGTCCTTTGGAATTAGCAAAGTCCAATTCAGCTAAAACGATGCAAGAGAAAAAATGTTTGTATAAATAACATGTAAGGGGGATCTAGTCTTACAGTTAAGTTAAACCCTGCTTCAATCTTTATAAAGATACCTTCGATGTGGTGTACTTGGATTCATTAATCGTAGGGCTAAACAGATTAACGATACTTGTATAACCAAACTCCTATAAACTCTCTTGTTCGCCCAATCCTTGAATACTGCTCTTGCAGCTGGTCTCCGCAGTATAACAATAGCCAGGATCGTATTGAATGTCTTCAGTAGCCTTAATAGGTTTAAAATCGGATCCCAAGCTTTTGTTGCCATCCTACTCCACCAGCCTGCTTAGTCTTGATCTTCAGTGGTTAACCAACCATCGGACAATCCTCGTGTTATCTTCCTGCATAGGTTGATTGTTGGCAACATAGATTCCTCTTTTCTCTGTTTGTTTCTGGTCGTTTTCAATTCTCTGTTCCGTCTAGATCTACCAGGAATTATCGCCCCTTGTTCTTAACAACGTACACAACGGATTGCGCTATGCACAATCCTTTTCACGTGTTATATAAAAATAACAATAGTTTCTATTCCGCTTTTTCCAACGACCTTTTTCTACCCCTCTTAGCTGTAGACTCTATTAGAGTCACTGAAAAAATTAGTTGTGAAAAGGGACATAGCTGGCCGGATGGGCAAATGGAACCGTCTATCGGTCGCTGATGATATTAGAAAGTTGTCCATACGTCTTACTGTTCTCATTTTCCTTACCATATTGTATGTTATTATATTTTTACCATTCATATCCATTTGTCAATCAGGGCACATCTTATATACAGCTTATTTTAAAAAATAACTTGCTGAAACGGTTACTTACAACTGGATACATGGCCTGCAAACTTGATACATTATATAAAACGGAGCTTTCCCAAAAACCTCGGCGTGACTGTTCAACTTGAAGCTAAAAGTATATACAGAAAAAATTTCAAAATGTTTCATTTATCTCAGTCAATTAACCTTGAAATAATATATAAAGTTAAAATGCATTAGTCAAGAGTACGTTATATGCTAAGAATCCTTAATATACGATCCAACGGCGTAGGACCGTGTTTGATAATGCAAAACGGATCCATTCTCTAATGGTTTCGAAATTCATTTCAAGCAAAGCAAGGTTAACGATTTCACCAGCAAACAATCCGAGTATGTACTATTATTTGGGCTATTTAAAAAAAACCCCTCTTTTATTTGAAAAGAATCAGCTAAATCTGGCGAACTTTAACACAAATCGGAACATTCAATTATATAGCTGTCATATTAACTCTTGCTTGAAAATGGATTTTTTTTACGAATAAACTTACAAAACTCGTTTTAACCACTAACCATACAATATATAGATGAGACAGCTAGAACACAAAAAAGTTTTTGTTTCGATCTATAGCTCGCTCAATTGATCTGAGAGCAAGAGTTAGAGAGGTATATGCTTTGTGTGATTATTATTGCATGTATTTCTGTATGCATGTACACACACACATTCATGCGCGTATTTATTGAATTCTATCAACAGTATTGCAATTACGATTGTATTCTTGAACCCATTACAAATGGGTTAAAAGGGTATTGTATTTGGGAAAAATGTAAATGTATGCAGCAGGCAGAAAGAAGCATCTCCAGCCCCATAAAGTGTATATATTCTTGATCAGCCGAGTCGATATGGCCATGTCCGTCCATCTGTATGTATTAACGCAAAAATGTTAGAAACTATAAGAGCTATGGGTACTCCTAGTGCCTGCGCCCGTAGAAAGCCGCGAGCTTCGCGGTCAAAGGAACGATCGTACGAAAATGAGGTATGAAAAAAGTTTTTTTATCACATTTTTTTTTTTTGTAGTATATATATTAACATATATATTGCCATAGGAACGATTAGTCGAATGGAATATTTTTTTTGTTTTTCAAGATATCTTAGCCATGCTTGACATTATTTTATTTCCCTGTGCTTCTTAGATACTAGCGAAGCATTATGAGCATTATGAAAGGCTTCGGTCTGCAAGGGTATTATATCTGAGGCGTCTCGAAAATAGCCTATCTTTTATATTTTATTAACTTCAAAGTAAATTGGTAAAGATGAAAAAATATTTTTAATAGCACTACATATTTTACCTGTCATTTATGGACACCAGTATTATTTGCTCTTGTAAATATAAATTATCTATATTCAAAATCAAACGATAAAAACATACCTTGTTCAGATCCTTTATAAATTCTAAAATTGTGTCTTTCTCAGATATTCGTTGAGCATATGATAAGTAACTTGGTAGAAGTTGATCGATTAAATCTGGCAATAGCTTGGGTATTCCTTGACGTAAGCGATTTGGAGGTGCTTTCGGGCTCATCCAGCGAATTTTATTCTACAAATGAAGGAAAATAATACTATATTTATTTATATATTTTCTTATTGGCTACACATAAAATACGTAGGGGTATGACTATAAATATTATCAGAACTGGCAACACTTTGAAACTTAACAGAATGACAAGTGACACTTTTGGATTTTTTGTCTGCAATTTCTACCTTGAATCTCATGTCTCCAAATAAATTTTAAATATAGTATGTCTGCAGGACTTTTACGGCAAGACCGAAGACGAATAATTTAATATAGAATGTAATATTTAGAGTTATAGGCGTTGTTATATCCTGAACCCATTGAAAATGGATTAAAAAGTCTATAATGTATTTGTGCAAATGTATATAATAGGCAGTTGGAGGGATTTCCGACCATATAAAATGTATATATACTTGATCAGCGCCAAAATCCGAATTGCCATGTCCGTCTGTCTGTCCGTCCGTTTGACCGTCCGAGCGTCTGTCCGTATGTATGAACGCACGGATCTCAGAAATTTTAGCTGTAGGTCCTCCTAGTGCCTAGTTTCGTGTCCAAGCAATCGATAAAAATCGATATCGAAATCCTGTTTTTTGGGCAATTTTGGTAAATAATAAGACTAGAGTCACCAAACTTGACACATAGCTTCTAAAATAGAATATATATATGCATTTGATGTTGGAAGGAGAGGGTTCAGGGTATCCACTAGTCAGGAGCTCCCGACTAGAACCTCTTACTTATTTTTTAAGAGAATAAATCAAATAAATCTAGAATTATGAAGGTTGGGAGGGTCACATTAGCCACAAGCATTCTTACATTACACGAAGCCGTTTTCAATTTCTTGTCTGTCTTATGCACTTGTATAGAGAAATTCATGCGATATTTGATCTGTATATGCAATATTAAAGCTAATTTAAAATTTACTGACTCGTGTTCAAGAAACCTAAGAATTTGGTCAAAAAGTAGGACTGCGATACTCATTAAAGACGATTTCTTGGTAACGAGGCAAACTATCGATGATCGCGAGCAAACTCGTGATATGCGGGTACAATGATATACATTTCAAATTTAAAGTTTCTAGTTTAGCTTCTGAGATCGACTGTCGCGATGCACGGCAAAAACATATATACTTTATTGGGTCGGAGATTTTTCTTGTTCCTTTATATACATTTGCAAAAATAAATTTTTTTAGCGTTTTACCCATTTTCAAAGTGTTCACGGTATAAATATCGGTTTAATCGGAGGCGGCCACAAAAAACTGAATTTTGCTGCATAGTCCAATCAGTCAGTCAGCCAAAACAAGAGTCTTATATATGTAGATAATAAACATACCTCTAATATAACAGATGATGTGCTTGGTCCACTTATGATAAGAAGCACATGTGGTCTTCTTCCATAACTAAGATCGTAATATATATCAACAAGTGGACTTGGACCAAGGTCATAGATTTTGGCTACAAGCGGAGCGATTGACGAAGGACCTAAAACACCAACTGTTAGGTATCCTCCTAAATAAGCAAATACACGGTGTATAGCGCTTGAATTGGTTGTCAGCTTTAAGCAGCTTTCATATAAACTTTGTAGCTTCTTATAATTTCCACTTAATGTCGAACTCTGCAAAAGAACTAAGATAAAAATTAATTCATTAAAAATTAATAAAAATTATAATATATACATATAAATACATACATATATTTTTATTAATTTTTAAAATATATGTATATATATAATACTAACTTTAACTCGTAAGAGAAAATTACAACTTACATTGTATTTGCATATCCACTGACTTTTGTGAATTGCCCATTTCAATAAAATTAGTTATATTGTTATTGAACGTTTTGCGCCAACAACTAAATTTCTTAAATTCAGAACAAGGATCTTTATTCCAATTTAGTCTTGCTTGAATGTTAGAAGCCACTGTTTCACAAATTGGTTCCGTACATTCTGAAGGAGATGAAATTGTAGACGAACAGCCATCGCCCTCCATATAACAATCTTTTGGAAGTGGCGAGGGTGCTGTACTGATTAAAAATAATATTGGTGAAGCAACCAGTAATGTTGTTACCAATAAAGTTGCGGACGTTATAGCCACTTTATGAACTGCAGCTGAGGTGCGCAGCCATATGCAAGGAGCGCAGCATATCCAACCAATAATATTATTCTGAAAATAATTAAGCAGAATGTACAAGAAGTAAAATGTTTTATGTTATAATACCTTGTTATATCGTCCTGCAATATTGTCCAAATTAGAATTGTCGATAATTTCAACATCATCAGCTTTACCAAATTGGTTGGAACAAATAGGGGTTTTAAATGAGAGCTGTTTTTGGAGAAGGGATGCGCTGCTCCCCCCAGATGGATTTGCAGAAGTAATAACATTACGAGCATTGTTGTTTAATCCACTAACGCCCGTTTTTCGAAACGTATTACGCGAGCTAAACTCAGTTGTCATTGTTTTTCTTGTGTTATGTTTTAGATTGACATTTTTTTATTAATAATTCTCACATTTGCCAAATTTTGATATATCCTTCAAAAAATGGCTTGCGCCTAATCAATATTTTGTTTAAGTAAAGTAAGTCATAAGCGTGCTCAATATTTATATTCATATTTACTTGTACAAAATTGTAATAAGCTATGTTTGTACATTCTTTTAACAGTTTTAGATTTATTGTTTATTTGCAACACTCAATATATTACACAATTTACTGCCGAAATAAGCAATGTGTATTATTTACATTTACTTTCACATTCCAAATTTATAATCACAATAGACTAAAGCTCAAAATGCTTTCTGTGAAAGCTTTTGGCGAGGAAGCTTTTTACAATTTTGTGCTTAATATTAACAAATATTAAAAAAAAAAAAACACACAGGGAGTATGTCTGGAAAACCAAAGTCTTGCCGCAAAATAGATGACGGACATAAAAGTAATTAGCACAGAATTGAAAACATGTTCAATTCATATACATATGAGTTGACTATGACTACTCTATTGATTTTTCACCAAAGGTAAATTTGAAACAAGAAAGAGTGTTTCAGTGAGATGATATTTTTTTTTAAGAATCGGTATCCTTGGGATATTGGACGTTAAAACATACGTATGCCTAAGACCAGCCCTGCATTTTGCTATAATATCCATACTGCGCGAACGTGGGAAAAAAAATGTATTTTCTACTTATTAAGATATTTAAGAGTATTGAAATGTAGGTTCCCTTGGTAGGGCTTAAACTCACGACAGACCGCATCACAATTGTTGAGTTATATTGAGAAAATAACGAATTAAAATAGCAGCACAGAAAACCATACAATCGCAATCGCAATGCTGTTAGTAGAAGCAGACGCGCTTGAATTTTGCGGGTATACATGTATACAGAAATTCTTTGAATTTGCGCTAGCTGCTCCATCCAGCTGAACAGTACAACATATAACGTTTGGGTTTTACTTGACCGATCTTAATACAATTTTTGACAGTATATCTTGTATATCTAGTACCATAGAATATTTATGTATTTCAAGAATTTCTGTATGTATGTACACATGATAATTCATGCGTCTGCTTCGAATTCTATCAATAGCATTGCAATTGCGATTGCTTGGTTTTCTGTGCCGCTATTTAAATTAGTTTTATTTTATTTATTTAATAAGACTCAATATTGGTGTGGCTGTTGAGTAGAGGCGGTGGCAAGTAATGCGGTCAGTTGCGAACTCGAGCCCTTCCAAAAGAACTTTGATACTACTAAAGCAAACAAGCCCATAGCGCAATCTGCATTTGTTGTTGGTATAAGAGTGTTCAGGGTATTCTCTAGTTGGGAGCTCCTGAGTAGAATCTCTTACTTGTTAACTTTGAAATAATAATCAAAGAAATCAGAATTATACGTTTCTTATATCAGATATTTATTTCAAACAGAAAATGTTGCATTTTTTTGTTAAATTGCTGGTTTGTATTGTTATCCTGAGGCCAACCAACTCTATGGTTAAAAATGATGTTAACTCTTTTCGAACGAGCAATTTAAACACTGTTCTACTTAACTGCGCAAATGATAATAAAGAATGGCCTTGCGAACCTCAATTACTGATAACTATTAACTTTATACCCAATTTAAATGTGGAAGCTCACGATAACCTTCTTATATTGGATAAGGCCTACGAGCCTACTAAACGTAAAAATTTAAAAATAATATCCCCTTACATAATTATAGTTAGCAGAAGCGAGCCAATAATTGTGCACCCACTACTGAAACCAAAAGTAAGTTTTACCTATTTACATACACATTTGTAAGTAATACTAACTTACAAAATGCTCACAGTGGACGAGTTTTAATAATTATAGTGGTGAGTATAGTTTTTTATAAGTATTTCTATCAATAGTAAAAGTAAAACTGTCAGTAAGTTGTAAAATAAATTTAATGGTTTATATGTGACGTTTTGAGAAGTAGTTTTGAAAATTCAAAATCTTTAGATGAGAATCGGTCACTTTTAAATGCATTTATTTATGTTGTTGAGCTTGAAACCAAATACATTTAAGTTCAGAATTACAAAATATTTAATTAAAAATCGCATATACACCATTAAAGCATAGAGTGTCAGCTAACTAATCATCAAATAATTATAAAAATCGATTAGCCGGGTTTTAAGATATTTGAACAACAGTGCAGCAATGCCGCTGCTACCCCCAAATAAAATAACCGTAAAAAATTACCCTTGCACTTGAACCCTGATATCTTTTCCCAACTTGAAGATACATGTTTAAGGAAGCTTAATGCGTTAATTCTAAACAAATCGATCAGCCAGTTAGAAAAATAATAAAATGTAAACATGTAGTTCATTCAAAAGGCTTATCGAACAACTAGCTCAATCGGTCACCAAACCAACACTCGGAATCAGTGTTGAACAATGTTATACGGTATTTCGCGGTAACATATTAATTCAAAATATTTGTATATGGAAAAGACACGCAGGAATAAAGGAAATTTTCAAAAAAATATTATCACCTATGCATTTATGTATTAATACACGTATAATAACAAAAAGGTGGCAATATTTCTAACTATATAATATAATAACATAGAATCGAAATTACTTCTAATTGTAGAGCTTCAGATTTGCGAGCAATCTTATCCAATTAATTAAATAGTTTGATTTACATCTATAGTTAAGTTATACCTTTCAAGACACGATACTTGTATCTATTAAAGTTAAACAGCCACAAAAACTAATTTGATAGGCATTTTTAAGTCTTTAAATTCCAAATTTTTTAAATCAAAGCATTTAATAAATAATGCATATCTAACTTTAAATAGTTGTCATTAAATAGTTGTCACTCTATCAATTTCAATAACTATCATTTTTATTCGGGATTTTTCCGAATCTAAGAGTAAGAAAATCGAAAAAACATAGCTCTTTTTAAATTATCATTTTTTTTGTATAAAGATAAAATGGTAATCAATACTTATATTTATTATATTTATTTATTTTTACAGTTCTGCACAATCAGGCAGAGAAATATTTAACTAAGCTGGATCACATTTCTATTCAAAATATGAGCATTTGTAGAAGAAATCCAGGCTCTCAGTTTACAAGTCCGGAAGAAGGCAAGCATTTTCATAAATTAATGTATTCGTATAAAACATACCCTATTCTTTTAAATGATAAGGCGATAAATTGCAATACATGTGATGATAAAAATAAATCGATTGGAGGCCAATTTCATGTTTTTTCCAAACCCAATTGCACTTATTACGTGAAAAAATTAGATTCTCAAATTCTTCAATCTAGGAATAATTATGCCAAAAGTAATGGGCATGAACCAAAAACGAAAATAATTAAAAAAAACTACTTCTTAGGTAATTCACGCCAATTCTCGCATATCAGTGCACAAAAGAATAAAAACGATATGATTGACAGGAAGATAGTCCAAGTAATATGTGATAATTTTAATAAAGGAAAACTGACAAATACAATATTATCTGAAATTCCAAAAAAGTGGTAAGTAACGAAACTTAAAATAGTAAAATAGAATAGTTCTCACGGTGACGGGATGTTTTGCGTCAACTTGCCTCGTTGTTTCAAATTAGTATTAATGAAAACATAACATACAAGTTAGTCGACTCCGTTACTATTATTAAATTTATTTATACCGGAGCTCAATATTATTATTATGCATTACTCTACTTTTGTGTTATTCCCTAAAAGGGCACTTACTGGACCCCTAGTGCTCCGTTGCATATTTACGATTATCCACGCTTCATTTTTTTCTCTCAGCAGCAACCGATCAGCGACTCACACTTACAGCGGCGGCTGGCGGCCATTTTTAGCCTGAACACATTGAAAATGGTTCATGTATATGTATATTCTTGATCATGTATATTCTTGATCAGGATCAATAGCTGAGTCGATCTAGCCATCTCTGTCCGTCGGTCTGACCAATGTATTAAATGCTCTTAGATCCTCCTAGTGCCCGCGCAGATCGAGTTTGTTTCCTATATTCGATAACTTGCTCTTTTTCCAATAGCCATAATATCTATATATATATATATAGCTATACATCAACAAAAGCAAACCAATTTATTGCCCATCAATGTAAGGTTCAATTTAAATGTAATTATGATTTTGACAATACACAAAAATGTTATAATCCAATAAGATCACAAAAAATGTGTTTTGGCTTTCCTCGAGTTTACGGCAGCTAGGGCAAATTCCAAGAGTTGCTGTATACATGTACACACACACATTAATGCACACATGTGTGGGTGTACATGGATCACACACAAACACACACACACTAGCAGCATGGCAATTCCGGCTGTGCTATTTTACTTTTTGCTAGTAACTATTATTTTTTCTACTGCCTGGTGTGGCTGTTGAGTAGAGGCGGCAGCAAATAAAACTGTCAGTTGCCAGCTCGAACCCTATCAAGGTAACTTTTTTTAATTTATCTTTATCACACTAGTGCGAGCGGCATTTGGTGTTGGGTTCAGGATATCGCCTAGTCGGGAGTTTCCGACTAGAACCTCTTACTGGTTTTTAACTTAAGCTATGACTTCAACGTGACACTTTGCCTTAATAAAATTTAATTATAGAATATAAATATAAATATGGTATTTAGGATGGCTACCTTATTAGCCGCCTTACAACGCTGTCATGCCTTAGTTTGCCTTCTGACTTTAACTGCAAAATATCGATTAGATGATATAAGTCAGCATATTTGGACTTATATCATCTAATCGTTATTTTGTATTTTTTATTATTAAAATTCACTCCTTTTTTCACCCACCTAAATACTATATCTTTCTTATAAGTCTAAGTCTTGTGCACCCTTTTCATTGTTTAATAATTTGGGTTCGCAAGATCGACATTTTATTACTTAAGTATAAGCTTGGCCATCCAATGTATATATCGGAATACGCGTATTATTTTGTGTCTTATTGTGTCAAGTTTTAAAGCGCAGCGAGTTTCGATGCGTATACTAGGCGTCTAAGGATGCAACTAACTTCAAAGTTCTTCATTTTCCCTTCGTATCCAATCGAACCACACCTGGCGACATTGTCGCCTTCCTCTGACATTTGTAAGCAAAACGACAACAATAGTTCTGGAACAGTCCCAGCATACAACTTCATTTGGTATTTCCAATCATTGTGAACTACCAAATACTTTGACATTTCCAATCATCCACAACCACACTTTCTGTATGCGCCGAACTATGGAGTGTATTAAGCCAAGTTTGTCTGTCCGTCCAAATGAACTCTGCTTAAGGACAAAAGAGATTTCAATATAAAATCAGATACCAATGCGCCTGCTGGCATGTTGCTGCGTTGCCCCTGAATAATTTGGATACAAACTTTGATTTTTTATTATAAATCTATATTAAAAGTACTTTTAATTATTGTTTTCTTTCTTATTTAGTTATCCACGTGCGTCATCCGTTTATAAGTTAAGCGTTCCGTTTCCATACCTCGCGGCCAAAATACGGGTGTTCAAAAAGAGGAAGAGAACGTGGTGGATGATAATGCCATCTATCAGGTAAGCATATATATACCCTACCGAAGAAACTGTTTTTTTTGTGGCTGCGATAAGTTTCTAGTTCGAAGCCTGCCAAATTAACTTCTGTTTAATCTATCTTTATTACTACAAACGACCGCGTAGCGCGTGATGCATTTGGTGTTGGGATAAGAGGGTTCAGCGTATCGCCTAGTCTGGAATGCCCGACTAGAACCTCTTACTTGATGTTGTATGGTTTGTAGGGCATAGTGTGATTATACCCTTTTTTCCCATTTAAAACTTATTAAAATATGGCATAAATCGAATAATAACTTTTACACTAACAGATTAAATAACATGTCTGGAACATATGTCAATGGAAATGTGTCAGTACTCTTAACATCACATGAAGACATTTTGGAGACAAGAAGGTCATTATTTTTAGGAAATCATACATTTTCGATCCCAATAAGCTTTTTAAATAATTCAAAAACCCTTGATATTGAAAACGAGACAGCAAATATTAAAAAAAATGTTAAGAACGGAACAGGAAAGATGTCGAAAGCAAGGTTGATTCCAACCTCAAATAATTTGCTAGCAAAATGTCCAACCAATAACAAAACATTGTGCTTAAATATAGTAGATGACAAAGTGCCAGGTAAGCAACACCGTGGGATCCGGTCAACAATGCTTGGTTCACAAAATTTTTCGAAATTAATATGCAGGCTTTACTTAATACTCTCTCCGCAGTGTAATAACTGTTAACAAATTTTTAATTATCGTGCGGATTTCAAACAATGTATCAAGGTTGCAGTTTTTGTTTTTATTTTTATTAGAATTCATTAAGAGAAAAAAATCATCAGCATCGGCATTACGTTGGCTAGCCTGTTGTATGCAATAAAGAATGTTATAGCCGAAAATGGTGGTCCCTGCGGTATACAATTACTCAGCAGAAGGATAATGGATGTTTGCGATGATACTACTTATTACAATTTTTCTTTTACAAAAAGTTTAAAATAGATTTTAAAATGAATAGATAAACTAGTTTTGCAGGCGTGTGGAATTTAGTTATCTGATCAGTGGATACGATATTCAGTTGAGTCCTAGCGTTGACCCTTCAGAAGTTTGTATGCTGGGTTGAAATTCTTTAAATGCGATATCTTTTTCTAAACGTTGTGAAGAGAGTGACGGGTAGTAGGATCCATCAGTGCTGTTGTTTTTACTTTTATGAATTGGATACTAAAGTTGCAAACCCGTCTTATATTTGAGAAGATTTTTGCTGTTTTCTTGAGTTTCACCGTTTTTATGAGAAGCGCTTGGCTTCTGTAATAAATTTATTATCTGTAGTAAGGTTACGTTTTAAAATTCTTCACTTCCACCAAGGAACTATGTGATTTAGTTTGTGGGATGATGATTGTAAATTGGTGTTAGGTGCACAATGTACAATCATTTTAGTTATGTTGGCTGTTTCTTTATTGATGTTTAAATTAACTTTCAATTTTTGGATTTGGGTATATATAAATTAAAATAAACAAGAGGTTCTAGTCGGGGGGAATTCAAAATATAAATATAATTAATCTACTGAGAATACTTTTTTTAACAGGGTTTAGCATTAAAATTAAAATGCCATTTAGAGAGAACGCAGCACAGCAAAATGCTTTAAAAGTTAAGGTGTCTAGAATTGTAACTGATGCCACGACTAAGGATGCACTTCAAATTTCTGTCGATGTTATAAATAAAGGCTTGGAAGCGCAAGATTATTTAATAAGCATTTCTAGCTGCCCATTATCAGAAAGAGAATCGGCTATATCGACTGTAAAGAAAATGCTTCTTCCCTATATATCTGAAACTATAACTTTTTTGTTGCCTTTTATAATGGGATCAAAGAAAAATTTCAAATTTAATTGCGAACGTAAGTACAAATCACGGTATTAAAAGTAGATTTAAACTGTTTTTGATAACAAGAGAAAAATAAGGCAATTTTTACAATAAAGTCAATGTTATTTATTATATATTCCGGACATAAATATTCCACCCATTTCCTACCCATGGAAAACTTTAGTACACAACTATCTTAAACTTGATTTCGAAAGTTTTATAGACATTTAAAAATACGTTTGATGTCTATTAAATAACGAGCACAAACGCTTTCCGCCCATATTAGTTCCATGGTAAAAAAAAATCTAGCTGCCGAAAATACGAGGCCATCCAAGTCACGTTTTCTTTGTATTTCTTAACCGACCCTAATGAAATTTAAAGTATAGATTATTGTGGCATAGATTATTCGTGTATTCTTAAAAACACAATTGATTTAAAATTGTAGTTTAAGTTTGTGGGAACTTCAAATGTATTTAATTTATTGCTACGCAGTAGCACTAACTAAACAATATATGTAAGTTGTTTGGTTATATATAAATATATGTATATAATATCGCATTATAAACTGTAATATTTTTGTCTAAGATACTATATAGCTCTTATGTGACGCGTGTATTATATTTGTGCAATATAGTTATACCCTTCACTCAGTATTAACCGATTGAACGTATTTTTTTATTGCAGTAGCTGTTAAGGCAGTTGTTATAAAGACAACAACAGAAATTAAAGCGAATAAATCGAGTACGTCGGAATCAAATATATTTGTTGTATCCAGAAGACTTTTTGAAATAGAAACTCACTCAAGATGTTTTTGTATATGGAATTGTCGTTGTCATTGTATTGGAAAAATAGAAACTCATATAGATGTCAGCGTTTGTCAGAAGATGAGTTATGCGACAGAAAAGGATGCTGGATTACTTTTGAACTGTCCACCCAGTGAAGATTCTTATGACTTTTGTTTAATGGATACAGTTAATGAAAACAAAGATATTTCTACGGCATTTGGTTTTCTTTGCAAAATTGTTGGAATAATTATAATTTTATCGATAATAATGTTACTGTTTCGTAAGTACTAAATTTATGAAATATCTACATTATTCCCCATGATTTGATGAATTCTTTGCTTGGTGCTATAATCCCATAATTTTCGTTTAATCCATATTAGTTTCTTTATTTGGTCAAGCCAGTAGTTTATGATCACTAAGGATATGAAATTTTCATGCCAATTGATATTGATAGGACCTGAAATATAAGGTGTCCCACACGATTGCCAATCATTCTTTTTTAATAGCTGAATGCTTCTCCCATGTTGATTTCGAAATTAACGTTAAGATACATTAAATAAAATTAAACAATTACTTAAACAAATTAAACAAGTAAGAGCTTCTAGTCGGGAGCTCCCGACTAGGAAATACCCTGAGCCCTCTTATTCCAACACCAAATGCAGTTCGCGCAATGCTCTCGTTTGAAGTAATAAAGATAAAGTTGAAAAAAGGTTCCCTTGGCAGGGTCCGAACTCGCAATTGACCGCATTACTTGCTGACGACTCTACTCACCATACGTTCAGAAGAAATGGTTGTAGCTGATTAAGGTGGTGATTAAGGTGGTGCACAAAGATAAAATCCGATAAAACTCCTAAGATATCCTAATCTTCCTGGCTTCCGTGACAACACGTATTACGATATATTCTAACTCAAACTAGGAACCGTTAATAGACGGGGACGTAATAGGTTATATTGAACACGAATAAACAGACTCAAATAAACCGTATAACAGACATTATAAAGCATTTGTTAAAGGTGACTGAAAAAAAACCATCGACACGGCTCACCTGACGAGATGATCCGAACTAAGTGAAAAACTTACTACGATTATTTCCACTCTATAATAAAGAACAAAAATATTTTTAAGTTTTTAAATTAAATTTAAATTTAATTTTTCTTTGCGTTTTTCAGTTTTGTTTTGTTGCAAGTGTTTTACACCAAGAGAAGAAGATCTTATTGTTGCGAGTGCAGAATGGTTTTGTTACCCTGAAAGCAATTTTGAAAGTCACACAAATGAAGTAAGTATACTAAAAACGGATTAAAATACATTAAGTTATTAGCAATAATTCTGAAGACATATGTATGTGTTTTACTACCTTCTGAGTTTTGAAAGAAAGAAAGAAAGAAAGAAGGCTTAAATGTCAACTCAGCTACTATCTTTTTCCGATTTAAGAGGTTATTATCATTTCGTTTCAAACCCAGATTAGTCTCAGATGTCCACTTATTAAGTCTGCTCTATGATGCTGGACACAATTACTCATATTTTATATGTATGTGTATGTATGTGTTTGTATTATATGTATCCCAAGTCTCAAGATTTTTGTTTTAAAAATATCGTAAAATTGGTTATACCACTAACCATACTATGCTTTAGTGTGCGGGGATAGAGAAAACCCGCTAAGAGTGGCAGCCAAACACCGCCCTTAAAAGCCGAATGTTCTGCTCAGCGCACAATGTCACTGCGGCTGATGCTTTTTCTTAATATATGTATGTTAGTTTAAATCCTTACAGCCTAAATACATGTGTGTGTGCATGTGCTGGGTCACTCTCACTCATTGCATCGCGCACTTGTGTGCATCTCCCTGCATAGCTTCTTAAAAAACCCCGAAATCTACATACATACACAAGTAGATCACGGCGTTTATCGCGCGCCAGAGATATTTTCTTTAATTAAGTGCCTTTTGTGCCTGTATTGACTTTGACTGACTTTTGACTTTGACTGACTTTGTGCGCAACTTATTTTTTCTTGGGCAAAATATACGTTAAAATTGCTGATAACATTTCACTTAAATTTTAAAATATTGCCACCGCACACCGACCGTTCCTAAATTGGTGCATCGCAGATTCTGCTGTGGCTTACTCGGAGCTTAATAACAATTTTTACTACTCCTTACACTCCTTTCCCGGTATAAGGTAACTAAAGGGCCGACTTACCGTTCAGAGAAAAAAGAAATTTGAACGCAAATTTGTATATATTTTTGATATACACATGTTTTGTTTTAGTATTTTCGACAGATCACTTAATTCAATAATTTTCATTTTTAAATAACTTATTATTTTCCTATATATATTTTTAGCACGGTATGTCGAATGACTCATTATCACCAGTGTGTACAGAATCAGAAAATCCCTCACGGAGAGAGCTACATAAAAATATTAATCAATTTGATTTATTAGAGTCCGCTTTAGTTACGCTCACGCGACAACAGCAAGAGATAAGAAATCAATCCATTAAGAAGGAATAAAGATACTTTACAGAAATCGCATAGTGTTTTAATTTGTTTTTATATTCTTAGTGTCTTAAACAATGAAAAGTAATATAACCATTTTGTGCAACTCAGCACAAAGACTTATTTTTGTAGAATGGACGAGATTGTGGATGTAAGGTGTTAAGATCGATGAGTATAGATTATTTTTTGGTGTTTTACATTATTACAGTACAATGACATGTTTCTTACGATGAAGTAATATTTAAATCAAGAACATGCCATATTCCAATTCATATAACCAAGTAACAATAAAATAATTTATAAATTCGAATAAGTGCCATGCGTGGTACACAAATACGTTTGAAAACAAAAATATAAGTCTTTGAATTTTGCCGCACACAAGCAATAAGAATTTTGGTGACCCAATCGAGATCAACAAGCTATTTCGTCGGTAGCAAAATAGGCCAACACAACACTTTTGGAAAACGAACTACAAACTTGATAAATTTCAAACGGAAGTATTTATAAAAGAACTACGGAAAGGTCTGTGGCAACAAGTAAATGAAAATATCAAAAGTGAGACTCATATATAAACTAACAAAAAAAAAACATTATTTATCCTCTTCCTTCTCCAGATCAGGTCACGTTTCCGGACCCAGCGCACCCATCCTTCCTAAGACGATCACCTAGTTTCGTCTCTCTCATTTTGACCACTGGATGGGCTCCAACAGCCCGTGTTGGCAGCAGTATCATATGATAATTATCCAGACATTTCTCTCTTCTGTAGCGTATAATTGGTTGCATTTCCTTAAAAGCATTAACAGTTGGTCCTAATTTCTTATATATTTTGAATGATATCTTCATTCTGCCATTCATCATTTCTTGAAAGTTGACGTTGAAGTTGGTTCCTTATATACATGAAGAAATGCAAATAAAAGTGAGCGATTCCTGTTCCGATACCAAGTACCAAATATCGACGCTAAGTTGACACTTATCCGCTAATTTGACGAACATGGAAAATCATCACCTTTTAATAAAAAAAATCGATGAATTGTTATAAATCGTTTTATTCTTTAAACAAAAATGAAAACAGATTATAAAAAAACATATAAGAAGTTAAAAAGGCGTGTAAAAAACTACCTTTTAGTAAGTTTTTAGAACTAGTGTGTATATTAATATATATACAAATGTATGATAACCAAAAAATAAATAAATATACCATTAGTTTGTTTATAAAATATTGGGTCATATCTCTAAAGTGAATGAAGAAAGTAAAGTGCCGTTTCCAAAATGTATCATATTCAAACAGTTCTGTTAGGACATGTTCACTAATCAGAGCTTGATAAGGCTGCGCACCCACTTTGGGGCACTATTCAGTTTTACAAACAACTTAATATACCGCATCCAAAGGCGAGGCAATGCATCTTTGATAATCTGACAACAGGTGATTTCGTTCGAATTTTCCACCCCGTTGGACCTCCATGTATATGTACTTTGTCTACACATTCAAGAATTTCTGATATCTAAACTGCGACAACGTATTGTGGATATAGGCAATACAAGTTTTTGCGATATGTTGCGTTCATCATGGAATAACGAAACATGTAGATATTAGATATAAATTTGTATTATTGGATCACTCGTATTGAGAAAATACGAAACTGAACAGCCTTGTTTTCCTCTTCTTGAAGTGAATAAAGATGCGGATCAGGCATTAATTTTGTAAGGGATCCGGCTTGAAATATACGGGTATAAGAAGAAACATGAGTGTACAAAATATTTAATTACAAATAATATATTGGTTGTGTTCCACGCATGAAAATTAAGAAAATAACTTTTGTGGTATTCTGTGGATAGCGAACGTACACACAGGCACTAACTTCTCTTCATCATACACTGCAAAAATAAGAATTATATCATTGTATATTGGCTAATGTAGGAAGATAATTATTGCACGAGTGAGCTATGCGAAATGAATTATTTTATTTTATATTTTAGGAAAACGCTTCTATTGTTGATGAAGTTTGGCTTTTACAAAAAGAGTTATCTGCGGCGCGTTCAGAAAGATTATCCTTAATTGAAAGACTTATGTTTTATGAAGGACTAGAAAAGGCTGCTATCGGACAACATCAATACCTGCATGAAAGCCGGGATCACACAAGTAAAAATGTCACACAAAATCAGACTGTTATGACCGAAAAAACAATACAAAATAAATTCCCTGACATACCAACACTACGTGATAAAACCTTCCCATTAAAATTAAATAATATTCTCGTACACTCCATTGGTGAAATTATACCAGCAAATCTAAATTTTCATACGTCGCATTGGATATATCCAGTAGGATATGTTGCAACGAGAATTTATGCACACCCAAGAGATCCACGAAAAAAATGTGTATTCACATGTAAAATACTTAACAATGCTGGAGTTCCTCAATTTCAATTGATTCCTGATAATGACTTGGATGGAGTGCTCTTCGGAGAAACTGCTAACAAATGTCATCAAGAACTACTTAATTGTATACAGGGGTCTACGAATGAATCTTTGAAGGTCGAATTGAAACCAAAGGGTGAGGTATTTTTCGGGTTATCAAATCCAAAAGTGAAATCGCTTATAATGTCTGATGTAAAAATTAAGCAATGCACTAAATTTAAGGGATATATCTTGCCCAATGATACCGAAATGTTGGAAAATAACGATCCAACACTGTCCTTTGCGGAACTTCAGAGTTATCTTAGACAATAACATTAACTTTTTATCTAAATAAAGAAAATTGTATTCCTGATTTTACATTTTATTCTACCGACCGAATACAACAAAAGGGTTTCAAGGAAAAAATGTACATATATAAATTTTGTAGCAGTTAATGGAAGAGAGAGCAGTAAGAAGCATAAGACTACAATTCTGGCTGGCATCATCCACGGAAATGTCCATTAAAAAAAGAGAAGCCATCTTATTGTTTATGGAACTAAAATTGATTCAATAACAAACGTACTAAATTAAATTGTCAGGTAAAAGTAGTTTCCCTATCAAGCTCGACGTAATACTTAATCTGGAGCTAAGTGCGGTAAATTAACAAGATGTATAGGAGATAAAAACATATATTATAATTTGTTTGTGTCATTACAAAACCTACTTTTTATATCCTGATCCATAAAAATTACTACCTAGATCCCTCAATAGTACTCGAACACGCGACACCCTTCTTGCCACCACCCCTTCTCAACAAACAAGCCAACGGTTCATTTTCATTGAGAAAAAAAAACGAATTAAAATAGCAGCACAAGAACTTAACGCTTGCTAACGGGCGCGGAGCTGCAGACGATTCTTGTCACAATGAAAGCCATCCTTAATTCGAGGCCGCCATTAAGGGTTCTGCCAACAAAGGGGACTTCGGACCGGCAGGAGGGTCTCACCTGCTTGAATCGATGGCTAGCTATCTCGTTTCTCAACCAACAGTTTTAGCGGCGATGGTCAAAGGGTCGGACTCCAAGTGCGGAGCAAGCCAAACGTCATCGCAGTGATCGTCGCCGGACGGCTGTGCACGCAGGTAATGACGGTGTCGTTGGAGTGGCAGAAATAAGGACGGCCGGTGCCGGAAATTTCAAGTGTTGGCGCAGTTCCGCGCATTGCCCCACAAAATGAATTTAAAACTTGAAGTGAAGGGCGGAACGAGAGCGCAATATAGTGCCTTTAACGCCACTACAAAGTTCGTTTTTTATTATATAAAATAATATAATTTTTTAATGACTACATTGCAATTACTTTTTTAGTAATGTATATCATTTTTTCATTCTAATCAAAAGCTAGAGTCATATTTCTTAATCCAATTTAATCCTTCGACAGTTGTTCTTTTCGGTTTGTATTCACAACCGATCCAATCATCATAGCCAAATAATTCTATAGTCTTAAAAACGTAGTCATAATCAAGTTCGCCAGGCGTGTCTGGCTCATTTCGATTAGGTGCCTGGGCAATTTGAAAATGTCCAATTACATTCCTATATTCTTCTAAGGTTTTAGTAAAGTTCCCGCATATATGTTGAAGATGGTATATGTCAACCATAAGTTTTATATTATTAGATTTAATTTCTTTCAGAACGGTTGATGCTGTAAATAAGAAAATATAAAAAATGGATAAGACTTCTTCATAGAGATAAGCATTTGCATTTTAATCATTTAATAAGAAATTAGCAATGTTATTTTAATTTTAGTCTTCCGGACTAGTGCAGTATACCAAGCGATTAGTGGGCCATTAGGCGCAGATACCTTTTTTAGCCATAGAGCAAAATTATCCAATTACTGCAGAGCGCGGAGTAAGTAATCGATCATCGGAAATAAAAACTCGACCTACGCAGGCGCTAGCAGGACCTACATCTAAAATTTTAAGTCTCTAGCTCTTATAGGTTCTGATATCCTTGCGTTCATACATACGGACAGACGGAAATGGCTAGATCGACTCGGCTATTGATGCTGATCAGGTATATATATTTTATGGGGTCGAAGATGGTTCCTTCTGCCAGTTACATACATTTACACAAATACATAATACCATTTTTACCGATTTTGAATGGGTTCAGGGTATAATTAGGTAAAGGGAGTCTGCAGGTTGTTTGTAAAGCATTTTCGAGAACATCCCGGCTTTAAACTGACTGCTGCCGACGATAAATCTGCAAGCCCTTGTCGCCAAGCTGCAGCTATAAATGCTTCAGAAATATAAGCAAAGAAAACCGGACAAAGCCAGCAACAGAAAAGCCTACTCTTTTTTTTACCCTGTCATATACACTGTGTTTTCAAGAGAGCATCGCTCTTTTGCTAAAAAAAAAAAAAAAAAAGTGCCCAATATTTTGTTGTATAACAAATTTCAAAGATATGCAAATTTTGGTGATTATGCATTGTTGATATTTGTTATATATTAGCCTTGAAAATAAATTTGAAGAACACCAGACAAAACATAATATTTCACCAACAAAATCTTGGAATCGCATTTGGAAACACGTCTAAAAAGATATTTTATGTATCGTAATAAACATATTGCAGAGAAAATGAAATAATTTTCAGATGAAAATTATTTAGTTGCCAAAATAATGATTTTAATGTAACGCGAAAAGCTTATTAAAATTCTCGAGTAATAATTAAAGACGCAGACACCTCAGCAGATCAACAATTTGTGACACTGATTTTTTTTTGTGTCAAAAAATTGTTGTATGTGGGTGAATACATGTATTATATATTAAATAATATTTACATATAAATTGATTTCATTAAAGGTTTGAATACCATACCTTTGATGTAGGAGTCCATAAAGTATAATGGAACAGCATACTTATTTATCGGTTCAATGAGGCCAACAATATTATTCAATTGTAATACCTCGGAAGCTTCTTTTAAATTGGACACATATGTTTTAAAATGATTTTCCAAATGGTTATTTACTGTTCCTGCCATCAAATGAATTCTGAAATAAAAATAAACTTTATCTGTTAAAAACTATTAGTTTTTACGTAACGTTATAAGTTATAAACATAAAAGTCTGAGTGCTCAAGTTGAGAGCACCTAACTAAGAAAAATGTACGATTACATTACTTACTTCTTGCAATTAATAGATTTGGCAAATGCAACTGTTTCATCCAACTGCATTTTGAAGAGATCTTCTTCCCCAGGAATACTTGCAGAACCATACTTTAGCTCATTCTTCGTTTTATCTGCAAAAAATATATTGAAAAATCTATCACCAAATTTAATCTATAAAGGTAAATGAACTTCAAAAACATGTATTTTTAAAAAATGTTTACAAATAATTGAAATTTTATCAATCGATGACCATTATTAAAATCAAGTTCCCAACCCAAGTTCTTCATACATATGTGTGCAATTAGATCGACTCGGCTGTTGATCTTGATCAAGAATATATATTCTGTGAAAGTTGTAGTCCAGGACGCCCACTCACAGGGTGCTGGCGTGGGCGCCATAAATCAGGCGCTGTTACGATAAGTGGTTCCCATTTAGAGTGAAGAGTTTTGACCCTGTACCGCGATGATACCGATGCCGTGGTTTCGACCATAAGTTGGCGTTTGCTGTCGCTGCGGCTAGATGGGTCACCTCGAGGCTCTGTGCAGTAATGCACTAAATTTCGCCATTAAGGGGAAGCCGTCAGGACATCTGATGATGCCTTTAGCGCGCCCGATATATAAATGATCCATGTTTTAACGAAATTATTCGCTAATATATTCCTTAAGTTCCTATGTAGAGCTTTGAAAATAAGTTTGAGGCAAGTCGGACAAATATGAAAAATTCACCAAAAATATCTTTAAAGTGCACTTTCCACCTTGAAAGAGATTTTATTACCGTTTTAAAGCAAAGTCAAACACAAAAAGCCACAGCAACAAATCAACTGCAAAAAAACAACAATGCGCAACAACAAGCCCCATTTTTTTTTCTCGTTTGTTTTGATCGCTTAAGTGTTTGTGCAAGATTTCGTGGCATAAGATAGTCTGTGCTGTGTTTATTGCTGGTTTCTCTATCTAATTAAAATAATATATTTTACGAAAGAGCTTTTGATCCGAATGGCTTCTCTGTCTCTTTATTACTCTTAATTATTTTTAAGTTTTATAGCTAAAAATATGTATTTACTTGAAAAGTACAAAGTAATATAATGTCGTTTACATTCCTATAAGTCTAAATACTCATACATATGTATGTATGTATACCTATGTCCATTAATAAGTATGTATGTATGTATGTATATGAACATGTTAATTGTGACATACCCAATTTAATATTTATCAGATTCACCAATATTCCAGTATTTTTAATTGCTTGTATAACATCTGGAAGTTCTCCGTCAGGATATGGTATTTCCACTGCTCGAAATCCATGCTGATGCGCTAATTTTATTCTTTCTGATATAGCTAATGCAGTTTCAGTAAAAAGGAAGTTCAGGTTTGCAGAAAATTTCATGGCGCTCACTTGACTTTTATTTAGAAACTGATTGTGAATAGATGTGTAATATAACCTTATATAAAGTCAAAAGTAATTTAGCCTTTGTGTATGTTTACATACACATGTATGTATGTGTGTGCATATGAACATTTACGGACACAATTGCAACTTCACACTTGTGTACATGTGCTCAGTTATCTGTGGACTGCCCAATAGAACTTGGTAGCTACGAAAAAGTACTTCTCACAGCTTAAAAATTTCCAGCTTAGTTTCAGACATTCTCTTAAATTCGACCGACCCAATAAAGTATATATGCCAGCAGGCCATGCGATTCATATCAAAGAGCTACGCATACAGTGCACCAACATAATATATTATAACGTCGTGTCTCATAGAACTTTATGTCTGTGATGTTTAGAATATATTTCTATCTCTATTACGTACATTGAAGTCATTTATTAATGGGGTCTTTTATAATAATGAATTCATTTAAACATGTATACATTTGCTGTACGCAACTATCGCACACAAAAACTTTTGGGCTGTAACGGAATATTACAATCTTCTTAAATTGACACAGTTTCCTTGGCATGCCAAGCACACATACATGCAGAGTTGCACCAATATATGTGAGTTGAGACACACAACTAACTACTAACAACTATTTGGCGCGCCGAGGCTTTGATACGCTTACTTATAAAAATTGTATATAATGTTTCAAGAAAGCAATTATTATCGATTGTATTAATAGTTGCACAGTAAATATGAAATTATATATTTCTCAGACATTGAATAAATATATTTTATATAAGAAGGTTTGTGGTATTTAGTCACAGCACTGATCAATAGTTAAAGTACCGTATTTTGAGGAAAAGTGCTTTGCTTGTCGAAAAATGAAAAAGATACAAAACTGCCTGACTTTAAATGGTCCATCGTATGGCATCTGAAACGATCAACGAACTGTGTTTTACGTAGAAAAATTATAGTTGAGATAACTAATTTCTTAAAGATTAAAAACATTGATAAGTTGAGGTTGGCAGCTGAGATTTGATCGTATCTCTGCTAGTTCATTGGCGAAATCGGTTTGCTGTTAAAATTGTCTAAAGTTGTAACAAAAATTCTCCAGTACGACGATGACTTGCGGCTTAGACCTTATTGTCAGGTCCCTGCTTGGTCGACAATGTTCGAGCAAGAGTCTTCCACGAGCGTTGAAGTGAATAATCCTTAGAAAAATTCACTTCCCTGCAAAAATGCCCATCAGCTCCTCTTCAACTCTTTTACTCAACAGACAAATTGATTACAGTTCAATGTACAATACATCGATTGACAATATCGATAGTTATTCAATTCAATGAATATTTCAAGGAATGTAAGCAAAAATACTTAATAGCTCGAACACTGCCTATAATCATTCATAAATTTTATGTAGAGTTGTATTTGCTACAGATATTTGGTTTACAATCCCCGTAAAACAGCCGGATAAGAAACAAGCAGTACCGTAACAAGCCCAAATACAGCATTAGCAGTATAGTTATTATCCAATGCAAAAAAAAACGTTAGTAACATAAGATTTAGATTTCTAGAATTATTAAGTTCGATCAAATTTTCCATTTGCGATTCTATTTATTAACAAGTGAAGCACAATCTAATGTAAAATGTGAAGGTGGATGCATGTATGTGGAACATCTCTTTAAATATATCGATAAGAGATTGATGCGGTATAAAAAGCATTGCAGTGGAAACGAGCTTATTCGATGCTATCGTAAAGAAGATTTTTTGATTTAAATATTTACAGTGAATTTTTTATCCGACTTTTTCGCAGTTTATGGACAATTTAGTTTGGTGCAGACAGCTATTTTAAGTTTAATCGTTTGTAAACAGGATATAAAGTGCTACATTACTGAAAGTTAAGATGGGAGTGCCTGCTTTTTTTCGATGGCTAAGCAAAAAATATCCTTGCGTTATTATAGAATGTAATGAAAATAAGGTATAGTAGAGAAAGAGCTTTATTATGATTTTAAATAACGAAAGAAATACAGAGAGTGGATGTAGAAACAGGCAAGACCATCTTTGAAGATTCAACTTTACCCAATCCTAATGGAGTGGAGTTTGATAACTTATATCTTGATATGAACGGCATAATACACCCTTGCACCCATCCTGAAGACAAACCAGCTCCTAAAAATGAAGAAGAAATGATGGTTGCTATATTTGACTGCATAGACCGACTTTTTGGTATTGTACGCCCACGAAAATTATTATATATGGCCATCGATGGAGTTGCTCCCAGAGCAAAAATGAATCAACAGAGATCCCGAAGGTTTCGAGCTGCAAAAGAAACAATTGAAAAGAGATTGGAAATTGAACGCATTCGAAATGAACTGTTAACACGCGGTAAGCATTAAGCCGTACTATATACACTTATTTATAAAACCTAAAGAATATAACGTGTCGTGGTCCGCTTGATTTGCCTATATAAATTCTAGCTTTGCGGTCTTGGCATTGCTGGAAGCAAAAAAAAAATTGTTCAGGTTCGCTTTTCAATCATTGTGCCCATTGCCCATTCCCCATTGTTTCCAATTTATTTTTTTATATCAAAATATTGAAACTAGGTAAAATGGTGCCCATTTTGTAAATTGGCGCATTATAATTTATAAGAACAATATTGTACTGGTCGTTTTTTATGCTCTGAACCTTGGCTTGGTTGGAAGAATCCCCGACCATATATAAATTGATCAGCATCAGTAGTCGCGTGAATGAACGATCTCAGAACCTATAAGAGCCAGAGACTTGAAGTTTTGAAGGTAGGCCCTCCTAGTAGCGTGCGGTACGCGTTTGTTTCCGATAATCCACGTGTGACCATTGACCACGTGGTTAGCGGCAGCTAACGCGAATTGAAGGAATTTCAGTACGCACCTAATTCCCAGACCCTAAAAAAAAAGGTACAAGGTACCAATAACAATATTATAAATTTCTAATTAGAGTTCACTTGAGAATTTATTTTCCGTGCTTTCACATTTAAATAAATAAAATATAATAAAAAAGGTTGCCTAAATTAAAATAACATCAGAAAAAAAAAAAACAAATAAAAACAACAAATCTAACAACAAATGCTTTCAGCATTATTACGGCGTCAACAATGAAGGGGGTAGCCATCTGGCGGGTCAAACCGCTTTGATATTTGGGAAAGCACTCCAAGCTTATGTATAACTATGATTTTACCCCAAGTTTTGAAGGCACACGGAAGAAACCGTTCGAGATTGCCCAAATATTCAGGAAAAATTGCAATGGGATATGCGGCTGGCTTCAGTTTGCACTATTAACTATTATTATTACTGGTAAAGTAGACAAGCTTGTACCGTGAGCCGCATTGGGTGTTGGAAGAGGAGGATGAAGGGTATCCTTTAGTCGGAAACTCTCGACTGGCGTCTTCCTTGTTCCTCGTCTAGTTCGTCTTTCAAACGCGATTTACGTGCACAATATCGCCGTTTTAAATTTACTTTGATGTTTTTTAATGCTTAAATCATTGTTGTTTTTAGGTTGCAAGCTTCCTCCGGAAAAAGAAAAAGGCGAACATTTTGACTCGAACTGCATAACTCCAGGAACACCATTTATGGATAGATTAAGTAAATGCTTACACTATTATATACATGATCGCCTTAATAACAATCCGGCATGGAAAGGAATACAAGTTATTTTATCCGATGCAAATGTACCTGGAGAAGGCGAACACAAAATCATGGACTATATACGAAAGCAACGTGCACAGCCTGATCATAATCCTAATACACATCATGTTCTTTGCGGGGCTGATGCAGATCTGATAATGCTTGGACTCGCTACTCACGAGCCTAACTTTACTATAATTCGTGAAGAATTCCTGCCAAATAAGCCACGACCATGTGACATCTGTAATCAATTTGGTCACGAAATGGACAAATGTGTTGGTCTAGGTGCAGCTGGCACAAGTAATAATAATCATTTTTCGCCAGATGTTCCAATCGGAGCAGAAGTGAAATTTATATTTGTCCGATTAAGTGTGTTGAGAGAATATCTTAAGAAAACTCTGCAAATGCCCAATTTACCTTTCACATATGATTTTGAGAGAGTCTTAGATGACTGGGTGTTCATGTGTTTTTTTGTCGGAAACGATTTTTTACCCCACCTACCGAGCTTAGAAATCCGAGAAGGTGCGATTGATCGTTTGGTTGAGTTGTACAAAAAATGTGTTTACAAGACCAAAGGATATTTAACGGATTCAGGTGAAGTGAATTTAGATAGGGTTCAACTAATCATGACAGACTTAGGAAATGTTGAGGATCAAATATTTAAGGATCGGCAAAGGAGGGAGCAGCAATATAAGGCGAGACAACAAAGAGATAATAATAACTCCAAAGCCTTGGAAGAATCTGTCTTCGGACCGGCGCCAGTTGGACCAGATAACAATAAAATTCAAACCATAACGAATTATAAACAGGCAGCATCTTCTGTAAGAATGGCGTCAAATGGGGCTGCTAAACGTTCTAGTACAACAGCAAATTTAGATGATGATGATGAGAACAACGATGAAGTCAGACTATGGGAAGAAGGATTTAAAAATAGATATTACGAATCTAAATTTGATGTACCCCCTGACAATCTCCAATTTCGTTATGCTGTTGCACTTCAATATGTAAGGGGTCTATGTTGGGTTCTAAAATATTACTATCAAGGCTGTGCTTCTTGGAACTGGTATTTTCCCTACCATTATGCCCCGTTTGCTTCGGATTTTGTAAATATACAAGGGCTTTCCACCATTTTCGAAAAAGGAACAAAACCGGTAAGATTACTAAACTTACATAAAATTAAGAATTGTACTCTTAAAGCGACATTTGAAAACTCTATTACAAAATATAGTATAAGAAAATCTTATAGATGGTCCGTTTTCTGAGCTGATGTCAAGAGTCTCCAAAAAAATGCCAATGGAATAACATATACCATTTATAATATGAGCTCCCAAATACAAAAAAGATTTGTTTTAAATCATGATTTTCCACTCTTTCCTCTCATACATGCTTTCCCGGTGAATGTTTTATTTTTATTTTATTTTTTTAATTTAATATTTATTTACATTTGGTGTTGTCAGACGATCATTTAGGGTATCCCCTAGTCTGGGAATCCCGACTAGTGCATTTTACTTGTTAAAAAACATAAAAAAAAACATAATATTTTCTG